TATATATATACAACACACACACACACACACACACACACATATATATATATATATACATATCAATGTATACCTTTTCGCATATGTCTTAGCTGTACCCGATTTGCATTAGATTTGATATATTTTTGTGAGTCACTGATGATAAGCGTGGTTGTTAATGAATTTGCTACCGGCATAGACCAGGTGGCGTGTGTATAGTGAGGTCATGTTATGCTAGGGCTATAGCCGAGGGTATCAAATCCCGAATTATTTCTTCAGTTTCGGTGTAGTGCTTGGCTCGCATAGCTCAACTTATGGCTGAGTAGGTTGATAGAGGTTTTGTATATCATTCTATGCTCTCTTAAATACCTTGAAATTCTTGGTTTCAATTCAGAGTAATGATACAAAACACCGCCAAGGACTTTGCTAGATACAAGAAAGCAACTAGGGAAGTGTCAGAGGTGTACCCAAATTGATTTGTTGTAGCTGGCTACACACTAGCTCTTGTATGTGATTAATCATACTTTGAGGTATTTTAACTTTAGGGTGTTCCAAAACAATTAAACAATCAGCTGCAAAGACTGTGTCAGTCTCGCCGTTCGTTGCAGTACGCTTATTGGGAAATAAATATAGATTCACACATCTGCCATTTTAAAGTTTTGAGCTGTACCACAATTTGGCAAAGGACGACTATTTAGCAATCGAATTCAGTCTGTATCATTATCCATTCGAATTCGTTTCATATACTCGAACTCAACGAAAATCACAATCGATTGAGCTTTGTACCCGTTAAAATTGGACCACAGTAGTAAATTGAACCCAATTGCTCAACAGAGAGGCTATTGCTACATTCTTCCCTTCCCCCTGGCATTGAGAACGTACCCATTTTTCATATGATTATAGTGTAAGTAGATGTTGAATACTGTTCAGTGTCTTTTCTGTTCACCAGCGTGAAACACAATTCAAGTTGGGTTATATGTCGCCGCTCCACCTCAAAAGCCAGACAGAAATAATTCACGCATATTGTACTGAGTCGCTTTATTCTGTTATTTTAGTACCCGGTAGTTATGGATAAGCCCCCTAGTATCTTGTATTCATAGGTATGCGTCTAATTGTATTTGAAGGGCACATTTATAAGTGGCTATATATGACGCGTCTGGGACTGTATGACCCTACTGATTATAAATTTAGCATTTAAATTTTAACTCCGTTGTGCTGAGTTGCCGCGTATGACCAGTTACTCAATACTATATTAAAACACTAGTTGATATGCGCGAGAGCAATAATCTTGCATTATTCAAATTATACCCATACCAGCTTTGCCCTAAGTAATCTGGTAGCTATGCACATATTATTAGTAGCCTCAGTCTACGGTATTGTAGAGTGTCCATATTGACCGTTTCTGCTTGTAGCGGAGGGGGTTGGCAAATATTGAGCTTGTTTGTGCGACCATTGTTCGTGTTCGTTCCCTACAAATCAGTTTCACAGCACACATGAAACTGCACCCCATTAGCGCCTGACAACGATACAATGACGCGGACACAGTGCGGTCTTCAAAGCGACAGTCTCCGTCCTGTGCTACTCTTGCTCCCCCTAGTCTATTTCTATTCCTGAGCTATTGTATGTGATTGTATTCTCTCCACCAAAACCTCCTCAAGTTTAATTACTATTTTTATATATAGACAGATTTGATTGGAAGTGATTTTAGAAGCTATCAAGTAAGATCAATGGTTTGGTTAGCGATTCTACAAGCTGCTGTAGTTATGATATCAAAAGCGATGGACATTTCTTATCTATAAAACAAATGGACAGCCACAAACACTGTCGAAATTAAGGTATTACAGCGACAACATACTTATTTATGTTCATCGTATATGGCCGGGTGCGGATTGGGAAGACGCCTCTGGTTCCCATGTTGTTGATAGTGTGGAGTGTACGCTTCATGGCTTGTTGGCGGGTCTATGACAGGCACATGCATTGGCCTGGGAGTATCTCCATCTCTTGTAAACTTTATCGTGGGTATTATCTTCTGAGAAAAAAATGGGTATATATATATATATATAAGCACCATACCAGAAGCTTTACATCTCGGCTTCCATCTTGAAGGGGAATTATAGGTTCAGTACAAGACACAGGACACAAGGACAAGCGACAGTTCAAAAACCAATCACAGTCAGTAGCTGTGTGGATTTTCACCACTGTCTTCCTAGAACCTACTCTATGTATATGCAGATGTATGGTACAGTATACTCGGACCGGTAACACAATAATAAGATAGTGGCTGGTGCATCCAAGAGCAAACTGTACGCCCGGATCAATTGCATACATATATGCTATTGCAGATAGAGACGACAGAGTGTTCACCTTGGATGGCCTCTTAGTTGTACGTGGTGAGGTACAGGACAGGACTCAATAGGCTTGTACCATTAGATTTGCACCGAAGGATCGGTACTTGCGAGACATACATATACACTTGTGGACACAATCGCTAGTCAAGTCGGAGACTTTCAGCGTTATATAGAACCAATCAATAAGACCAGATAACATAATGCTTTTACTGTCCTGTCGACACACACACACACACACATATATATATACCGGGCAGTGCTTGATCCAAAGTGACGTACAACAAGGATGATTCAAATTACATATACAGATGTGCAAGACATTAATGTCATGTATCCGGAACGCAGTTCATACACCTTGAAGATGGGACTATATATGAATATTCTCGCGACTGAACTGCAAGATGTCTAGAAGCAAGTGCAGGAGTCAACGCAGCGCATACCCTTTTCCGCGTCCCATGTACAGAAGGATGCACAGCGTGAGAACGTCGGAACTCTTCCTGTGCATGCTCCTGACCCGCATATCCTATAGTGGGATTTGGTGGTTCGTCTCCTCGTATGCGTCCAGGCCTCATGGTGTGGGGATTAGGGCCTATTCTGTCCATCCTCACAGCAGGGGTTATCTTCTCCGAAAAACGAATTAACAAATATGTTAGCAAGCAATTGGACAATAATCTGCTAATCCCTTTGCGGTGAATATTCGTGGATGTATATAAACACGAATGTTTAGTACCACATGGCTATGGGATCAGAACTCACGGCATTAACATGGGTTGACTCACTCGATTCTGATCATCTTCTTTATGCACAGAAATCGGTCGGGCGTGGACGGACTGTTGCCTCGGATGACTGTAGAGCGGTCCCATATGCCTATCTGCAAGGTTTGATGAAGGCTCCTCGTGTACTACGCGGTTCGACCTGGCACTGCCAGTATATACGTCATCTCTTGGAATCCTTCCGCTGGGGTTGAACTGTAGTTCAGGCTGAGAAAGAAAGGTTCGAGACTCTTGCGTGAGCATGTAAGAAAACAACACACACACCAAAATTGCATGGATCACTTCTGTAGCAGTTTTGAATGTACACCCGAGTGATCGATTGTATCTGGTTGGTATCATCAGCAAAGTTTAAGTACTGGACATGGTTATTTCCCACAAGCGAGTTCAAATTGTTGCCACGCACGGTTCGCTAGGTTCGATTTGCGCTCAAGTTCTCTACTATATCCACTGCTGTGATGCCGACGTATATATATAAGTAATGTTGCTAATACATTCGCAGCTGTCAAGCACTGGGCTAGGATGGAAATTTCAGATCAGACACGAGGTACTAATTAATATAGACAACAACAACACATTCTCTACATACATCAGAGGAATAGACGCCCTTATCTCGTGTGACTCGAGCCTTCAAACCTGATGGTCTCCGTATATACGCGGGATGTCTAATAAAACTTCACCAAAGTATGTCGATACCATATGTTCACAACATACCTCGTGGTCGGCGTCACAGTCTGGCGAGACGACATCATGCGTAATCTCTACTGTGGACTCAATTGAATTGTATCTCTGAAGACCCACATCAGCCTCTATCAAATCACCTCCTTCCGCCTGTTGATGGACCGGTCAGAGATAAGTCAGTCTGTCGATGACGATACTAACCAATTCGGTGTGCGAGCAATGACTATAGTCATATAACGCATACACCAGATTCTTACACGCTGTTTCAGATTCAAAATGCTTTCAGTTGTGAACTAATAGAAACGTCGAATCCTTATTTACATACTCTGGCCAGTTGATATGCCACAGGTTGCTGATGCAAACCTTGAAAATCTAGCGAATATCGCTTTGAGGACGACCAGGCCTTGTGTGACGAGATATGTTCACTCGGCCTGTGTTGAGCTGCGCTTGTACTATCACGGCTGCCCTCCATCGGCCTGTATTGAGCTGCGCTTGTACTATCTCGGCTGCCCTCCACTCCATGGCCATATGTAGAGCGATATTGCACGTCAGGGTGCGAAGAAAATTGCGGTCTCGCGGTCAGAGCCCGAGTTCCTGAGTAGTAACTATAGTCTGTGATTAAAGATGAGACCCATCGAGAAACATCCATATCAGAAGAATGCGTTCAAGACAATGAAATAGTAATACCCCGTTACCGAGGAACAAACACGCATGAACGAACTTTTGCACCGTTGCCTAATCATTAACGCCCTCTCGAAACTCTGAGATTTTTCACTTACGCTCTGCGTGTGGGGATGATGGGTTCGAACGGGGCTGTTTAGCGAGTCTTAATTCCTCCAGGTCGCTGGCCTTTCTTTTCGGTGTCAATGGTCCGCGGTCACCATCTCTATATCGACTGTATTGTTGGTGGTCATCGGCTACCTACAACACATGCCGGTTACGAAGCAATATAAATGCGAACCAAGATCAGCATATGTAGATTTTCTAGTGAAATGAGCCACCCTCATCTCGGTGTGTGGTCTCTACGATGTCTTGTAATTGGACGATATACCGTACGAAAAGGCTGTTGTATCGAAATTCTTGATTGAAGGCGGTCACCACAGCACACAGAGAGAAAGTTTTTTGCGCATCACTTTGAATCGTCAGCTACACTGTGTCACAATATGACGAAGATTGGCGCTAATCACGGAAGGATACCCGTCGGTGCTGAAAAATGTGCTGCCAATTTCCAAGCCATCAAAACGAATACCAATATTGCATACATACCCTGTGTTTGTATTGCCTGGATAGATCCGGATTAGAATGATACTGATCCCTGGGCAGAGCACTTCGTTGAAGATATCTGCTGTGTTGTTCACCTGCACGCAGAGATTAGAAAAGGGAGATCCAAGATTGATCACAGATGCAATATTTGGACTCTTCGCCCAATCACATTAGATCTAACTCCAATCTCCCCGCCCTCGTCTCATCTCCAAACATTTAAGGACATGCCAACGCTTCAAATACTCATGGTGGAGAAAACCGATGATATTGTACCCAAACTTATAAACCAGAACAATCGTGTTTCAAAGAGTCATTCTGGTGAAGATCTCATACCCTGAGGACCTGTGGTCAAATGATGCACGGCAGGATGTCCGGTGTGTCGCGTACTCTCGCGCCCCCGCTCGACTTTTGTCGAGTGCGTGTTGCTCAAGCCACCAGCAGGGTACTGTTAATATACATTTGCGATATTTTATTTCTGTGTCACGACCCGACATATCGCTTTGTGAGTACGTAAAAATGATGAGTTTTCGTTTAAGATCATTTCGCGAATTTCTTCGTCGCCTTTTGTAGATAGGATTTCAGTGAATCACTGTCTTCATTGAAATATGGTGCATAAGTAAATTACACTTGACGAACAGATCGAGCATAAAAGAAAACGTGTGCCAATAAAGCATACAGAGAAAACGTGTGCTAATAAAGCATACAGAGAAAACGTGTGCCAATAAAGCATACAGAGAAAACGTGTGCTAATAAAGCATACAGAGAAGACGTGTGCTAATAAAGCATACAGAGAAAATGTGTGCTAATAAAGCATACAGAGAAAACGTGTGCCAATAAAGCTTACAGAGAAAACGTGTGCTAATAAAGCATACAGAGAAAACGGGTGTTCATAACGCATAGAAAGAAAACGGGTGCTAATAAAGCATAGAAAGAAAACGGGTGCTACTAGTTTACCTTCCAGTGCACTGGGTTTCTGGCGTTCGCATCTGGATGATACCGCATTGATTGGTTGTACTGTTCCGGATACGCGCGTTTTTCACTCAGCGGGCCTGACATTTCGGATGGTCAAACCATAGGGGGAGTACGAAAAAATCAGCACCAGCACTCAAGTATGGGAAACACAGCCCTTGACGTAAACAGACAACACATCGGCCGCTCATTAACTTGAAGCTGAAGGGCTTACGTTGGGATTGAGATATAGCGACGGGACGGTATACACTGGGTAGAGGTGGCAGGCTCGTTCCGAAGGCCTGGGGTTTAACTGCATCTGATCTCGCCAGGGTTTGTGGCATTCCAGTTGGTTTCGTTTCCGCTGGAGTGGCTAAAGGTTGCAACGAGCGAGAGACCCCAATTGTAAATTATTCGAAGGAGTAGAACTCAGGCGATGGGTGGAAGTAGTACGAGAGATGGGTGGAAGTAGTACGGGAGATGGGTGGAAGTAGTACGGGAGATGGGTGGAAGTAGTACGAGAGATGGGTGGAAGTAGTGCGGGAGATGGGTGGAAGTAGTACGTGAGATGGGTGGAAGTAGTGCGGGGGATGGGTGGAAGTAGTGTGGGAGATGGGTGGAAGTAGTACTTGAGATGAGTGGAAGTAGTGCGGGAGATGAGTGGAAGTAGTACGGGAGATGGGCGGAAGTAGTGC